ATGGAAGTGGTGGGTCAGAAGAATTGTCAGAGTTATTTGGCGGCGGAGAGGAGGAGGAAAAGGCAGGCGGGGGGACGATGGTTGGTGCCGTTCGAGAGGCGCAGTTAATCCGAAGATGTCCAACAAGTCCGATTCGAGCCCGGAATGTCCGTTGACATCGAGGACACGTTGGAAGTGGTTGTGCGGCGGCGTTGCTTACTGGGCGAAGTTGTGATTTGCGGGCTTCACGTTTCGCTTTGGCGGCAGCGATGCGGTTGGCTTCGTATATCGCAGCGCCTCTCTTCACTGTCCTCCTACAGGTCGGTCGATCTAGTGCGAGCTCCTCCCAGTTGGTGGGTTTGATTTGCAGGCATTTCAGGGAGGACTTTAGGGTATCCTTGTAACGACGAATTTGGCCTCCTTGACGGCGAGAACCCGTCGCGACGTCTCCATAGAAGAGTCGTTTGGGTAGTCGCTCGTCGTCCATGCCCACCAGGTGGCCGCTCCAGCGCAGCTGCATTTGCCTCAGTATGGCGTAGATGCTGAGGATTCCCGTCCGTTCCAGCACATCAGTGTCGGGGATTCGATCCTGCCACTTAAGCCTCAGGATGCGACGAAGACAACTGAGGTGGAAGTGGTTCAGACGACGTGCCTGCTTTGCGTACACCGTCCAAGTCTCCGCTCCATACAGTAGTGTCGGCAGGATGACGGCTTTGTACATCTTCAGCTTCGTGCTCAGCTGAAGACCGTGGCGATTCCAAACTGTGCTTTCGAGGCGACCGAAGGTTTGACTGGCTTTCGAGATCCTGTTGGCGACTTCGTCGTCGATCTTGGTGTTGCGGGAGAGAGTACTGCCCAGGTACGGGAAGTTCTCCACCACCTGCAGTTGGGTTCCGTTCACGCTGATTTGCGGCGGCCTGTTGGGGACTGTGGCTGAGTTGGGTGGCGGTTGGTGCATTACCACCGTCTTCTCCGTGTTAATGACCAGACCGAAGTTCTCGCAGGCGGCGGAGAACAGGTCCATGCTCCGTTGCATCTCCTCTTCCGAGGTGGTGTTTAGGGCGCAGCCGTCGGCAAAGAGGAGTTCGTGAACGGTGGTTGTGGGTACGCGCGATTGGAAGTTCATGTGCCGGTGATTCAGGAGATGACCGTCCGTTCTATAGGCGATGCGGATCCCGGGCGTTCGTCGCGGTAGGCATCCATCAGCATGGCAGAGAACATAAGACTAAGAGGGTAGGCGCCAGTACGCAGCCCTGCTTCACTCCATTGGTCATTGCTCTGACTCTAACACTGGACTGGTCATCATTGTGGAACTTCATCAGATAACCAGTTACTCATCAGTCATTAGCTCTGGGCCTACAGCGCGTCCGTATATCATGTGGAGTAACTTGTGATTGTGTACTCTGCGGGAACCAGAACTCTGCTCTGCCGAGACTTTGGGTATGTCCGTCTCAGATGCGGATGAACATTATTGATGAAACACGATTTTGGAGCTGCTTATGGAGGCACAAAGTACTCCGCGAAAGTATCATCTCGGCCATACTCTTGGTCACACTGCCCCTAAAAATATACTCATTTCAGCACCTTCAGTACGTTATAGGGACAATAGGTTCTTGTCAATCTTTCAGATTCACTTGAAGAAGAAATTTAAGCCTTTGTGAATAATGTGGTACCTGGCAGTTCCTATAGTAACGCATTTAACACCTGATCTTACCACCTGTCCACGAAAGCTGATTTTAACAGTTAGAATAATAGTACGAGAGACGTTAAATCGACACCAGGTGCATGAACGGTCTGTATAAGCGAGCGCGGAGTTCATCATTTAAAAAACAGGCAAATTCGGCCCCATTGCGGATTTATTCAAAACCAGTCTACGAAAGGCATGGCTGCTCAAATAACTCTGCTGTCAGAGGCCTCGAACCTACAAAATTTGACTTTCATCTGGTTGCTACAGTTTATAAAAGGTCTTGCATGTGCCATGTATACTAATGCCCAGTGCTACTGAGCACGTAGGCGTGCTAAGGTAGCGTGGCAGAGAGTTGACCGATGTCACTTCAAATCCATGAGCAGACGAACTTACGAAGGATTTGATAGGGTAAGGAAATGGCATTTTCCACTGAGAGCCTACTCACTGCCACGGTGAGTGAACTGACATTCCCACAGTGTCACAATGACCGCCAGCTACAAAGATCCCCTCAAAAGTTCCCACAACGGAATTCGATTATCTGTGGTTTTCTCTAGTGGACGCCTTGAAAGAAGCTGAGACGGAAAAGACCATTTTCATGGCCATAACCAAGATGTTTTCGCATTGCATTTTTCCTACAGGAAGGGGAAATAGGCATTGTGGTAGGCTAGGTCTGTCCATCCATCACTCACACTGCGTACTCACGCCTGGATGAGCCTATATCCGACCTGTCTATCCCACGCTTATCGACAGCGCGCGCGGCCAATGGCATGCGACTCAGTGGTCCGGCCGCAGATGGACTTACGCGCCCATGTTTACTTGTTTTAACGCCTGGCGTGCGCTCCGAAGTAACCGTATTTTCAAAGGAAGCATACGCGAAATAAGAATAAAAAGACCCGGTTGCAGCACTATGGTTTCAAAGTTTGGACTGAGACAAAGCAACTCTGGTAAAATGGACACTGCGCAACTGAAGTAAGGGTTGTTGTGTGAAATTCTAAAACTCTACGAACTCACTTTCGAATGACTCCAGTATTTTTAATCAGTTCCAGTTAATTGCTATTATCAGTACCTCGGAAGATGACTGAGATGATTCCATCCAAAGCTGCATGAAAAGAAGCTTCCACAGCCCCAACAAAACAAAGACATTCTAGGAAGTAGACTGCAAAAATGTGACGGAGAATGTCTGAAGAATAGAAGCCAATATGTAAATTCAGTATTATTCGGGGAGAGCAAACTTAGAAATACCAGTGCTGAACTACAGTTAACCGACTGTCAAAAGCCAGGGGCAATCGGATTCCTAACCGATCAAGAATTCGAAGATGTAATACCGGTAAGGACGTGCATTCTTCGACCATATGTGCAGTAAAAATCCTCTCGGCAAGCGGCGAACAAGGTTCTCTTCTGAATGAATGGACTTTTCTGTACTGAAAACCAGCAAACTGGTTGCTGGCGAATCTAAAGTTGATCTACATACAGTTGACAGCACACCACTATACCGCAACATAGGAGAATTCAATGTGAACGGAAGACCTATTTCTAACTACCTTCAATGGCACTGCGTACCAGCGTGCCAGTAAGTACAACTGTTTGCAACGTCTGTGAGGGCATAAAGAACTTAAATTGGGGAGTTGAAATTCCACTGGTAATCCAAAAGGAATTATTGCTGAAGCGTACTGCAGATGTGCAGCTCCTTAATGATGAAGGGTTACATGGACATGTTGATGGGGCAACTCTGACTCGATACCAAAACCCATTACTAATCAACATCTTTATGGAAGACTAGCGAACGTGCAAGTGATGGCAGTCCGACTGTCGTTGCTGACGATGTTCACCGTGTGCTCCACAACAGGGTGGGGGAGGGGACGGTGACTTGAGCGGCAGAAGACTTGCACAGCACATACCACACTCTCTCCTCCTCCTTCTCTCCAGCCTACGTCCGTTTTCATGACAGAGTCAAGAAGACCGGAGACGGCAGAGAGCGCAGGCGGTCGGCACGGTGAAAACCCGCACTTAGGCGTACCGCCACATCCTTGGCTCCCAAAGAACAGCTAACCGGGATTTTAAGCAATGACATCCTACACGTCTCGTTTGCAGGGTAGCAGAATTAAAGGTCTATTCCGTTTTGGATCAGGGCACCTGAGAAGCTGTCCCAAGAAAAACATTTTTACTAGCCGACTATGTTCAAACTAGGTTTGTTAAAGTAGGCCTCGGGTGATAGTTTGCTCGGAAAACTGAGTGCATGTTTTTTGAGTCTAACGGATTTTTGCGCCAATGGTGAAATTCTCACAGATTTGACGAATGGCATCTGAATGTCGAAGGCATACAGCGTCTTAAGTCCGTGGCCTATGGCTCAAATACTTTAATTCGGTCTAAACACAATGGCCCAATTAAAATTATTATTTGTTACTTTCTTATTCTGTCGCTTAGTAGCATTCAACCTAAAACGTTATTCGTTGACTAAAATTTACTTTCACAGAATTTCGTTTTGACTGAGCAGTTGACAGCTTGTTTAATTTACCAGAGGCATATGATTTTCATTTCTGAAAGCCCCTGTGACTCGCCACAGAATACCTTGCATATTCCTCGTAAAATTCTTACCACTCTGTCCGGGATGGCCAGTAACGTGGGCTCGTAGACGTTAGCGACTTATACTGACTGGTTATGACGACTGAGTCAAATCTGTTTAATCCATTCCGTTCTGTCTCCGAGATGATACACCTCGACCACTTCTATTCCATCCTGAACGGTTTTTAACTTCGTGCGTTTAAGCCAACACTCCAGTTGCACCGCATTCTCTTTTTTCATTCAGAAAGGCAGCGGGAGCATCTTGTCTTTTGTCTTGGAGTTTTTCGCGCGGTTCATTTCCCTTTTTATTTGACTTTCTCTGACAAAATAACTTCTGGGGCATCGCTTGCAAAAAACGATCATTGCTTCTTCATGAGCAGATGGTATTCGCCTAACTCCGTCGGATACTTTAATTGATGATGTGCGACCGTATGATATCTTTACCAACCTGCTTCCATTGGCAGATATCGGTCTTCTTATCTGATTTACTAAAAAGTGCAGTGCCTTCATTTGGCATCGCCAACACTGCGATTATAAATATTTGAGATTTCAAAGTTTTGTCGTGTTTTAACCAATTTGCTTGCATTTTTCGCAAGAAAGTGTTCATTTTCCTAAACTAGTTTGTATTTCGCGCCATAGAGATAGCAATTCCTGAATATTGCGAAAGGCAGCTCTGCTGTTACCTCGTCTGAATTGCAAGCAGAATAATTAAACTCTCTCTGACACCCCACCACAATCCAGTCGAAATGAAAAGTACGAAGTAGAAAACCACACTACCTCAGAGTTTAAAGTCTAGCAAAAGCAGGTAAACTTGTCTCAGTGCCTATTCCGTCTTAGACCTCGCCAAAGATTTAAACCTACTCTAACATGGCTGCTAGAATCAAATAAGTGGACATGTTATAGTAATGTAAACAAGCGTCTGCTTGTCTAATCATTACCCATCGGTGTTACACGGTCGCGGTCTTGTCCTCAAATTTAAGGCGTACAATTATTCATTTCCTCCGCTGCCTTGTATTTGGTGGGCTATATAAAAGTAACAGCAATATACCGCAGTCTCAACCGATATTTTATGGAGTCGGACCCCTATTCACACGATGGGATCTGGTGTGCGTATCTCTGCTTGTTGTTGCAAAAAGATTGATCTGTCACAAAAACAGGCACTGTCTTTGCTCTGATCTTCGGACGCGTGTAAGGGTCCATCATGTGATACAGTATGACAACGGTAATAAATGCGCAGTTCTGACTATTTTTCATTTCGCGTCGACCACGTTTGTTCCTGTCTGCGAACGAAGTCGTACCACCGTGTTGTAACTGTGTAACGCATGGTACGGAGGGGGAACACTGACATATCGTTTTTTTAAAGTATCCAGTTCTCCAGTACCACATACTCTGCCTTTTTATCTGCTCGTGTCATTATCAATGCATGGGGTTTTGGGTCCTCCTGTGGGATGTGGGCTGCAACTTTGGACATCCAGTCACCTCTCCAAACTGCCCGCTTTTGTTTGCTCATTCATGATCTGAGTCTTTATGCTCTCTGGTCTGCATAATAGAAGGTACAGTTGTGGCATTAAATCTGATAAGTTGCGACGGACAGTTTACACGCGTCCACTTAGTCCTTCGTTCGCGCGACGCCTTTATGCACGATAGCGTCGAGGCTATGGGCGATATGCACGCGAACCTCTAGGGCACTGTGTTTTACCGTATATTCGTAAGTTGCATCGTTTTGCGATCTATTGTAGCGTGGAATCTGACTACTACAATTGAGCGCTCACCTGCGCCCACATTGTCCGTCCTCCGCACGACTCCGTTATGCTCAGTGTAAAGGTGTTGTTGATCCCCGCATATAGAGTTAGTGACTAGTAACGTCTGGTTGGTGGCTGTTCTTTGCGAAGTGTTCCAGTACGAAAGTCAATTTCTCTACTCGTTCCTCCATGCTGCTGCAGTGGAGGAGAGTATAGCGCCTCAGTGCGCGTATAAACCTTTCGTTTCGGACAGCTATGCCGCGCCGGGACTTACAATAGGTGGACTAACTCATGAAATGTCAACCAAAATTCTGAAATGCGTTTTCGTTTCGAAAAGATTTATTAAGTAGCGTTGGAGAACTAATCCTCAAGCAGCATAATTCTATAATAATTCAGTTACCCCAGGATGCCGGCTTCCGAACGAACTTCTTTCCGACAGCACGCAAAGACTACACTCTGTAAAGAATGACTACCCAAGTAGCATGTATTTTTCTCATTGATTTTCGATGTCCTTAAAAATTCAATTATATTTCATGGGAAACATGCATAACAATATCCATTCTTTTACTCATTCGGTAGGAAATTACGTCTTCTTCCAATTTTATGCTCAAAAGAAGGGTATATTTCGGTTTGCAAAAACTTTTCCAATTCCCGAATAATTTTGAACCCGACCTGCCGTTACACTCGCATTCAGGGTTTCCAAACTACAAACCATATATTTTCCGCGTACGGAAAGCCATACGTTTCGCTGCGGTATTACGTGAACACTATGCGATGTTCATAAAATTCAGCAGTGGATTTGATCCATGTTGTTAACTTTACGAGCCACATTGGTGAATGCAGAGACGTGACGTCTTCTGAACGGCCAGTTCACGGTATTAAAAAATCTCACAATTAAAAACTTTTTGAAAGCCGAATTATACCCTTCTTTTGAGTATAAAATTGGAAGAAGACGTAATTTCCTACCGTATGATTAAAAGAATGGATATTGTTATGCATGTTTCCCATGAAATATAATTGAATTTTTAAGGACATCGAAAATCAATGAGAAAAATACATGCTACTTGGGTAGTCATTCTTTACAGAGTGTAGTCTTTGCGTGCTGTCGGAAAGAAGTTCGTTCGGAAGCCGGCATCCTGGGGTAACGGAATTATTATAGAATTATGCTGCTTGAGGATTAGTTCTCCAACGCTACTTAATAAATATTTTCGAAACGAAAACGCATTTCAGAATTTCGGTTGACATTTCATGAGTTAGCTTCCCTACTGTACGTGATCACGGCTTTCGAGCGAGCGGAACACGCGCGCATGCAGCTTTGGGGACAGCCAAGTCCAGTCCCCCCCCCCCCACAAACTTGGCTATCACCCCATCACCTGACCAAGCCGACGCTGACTGACTGTCACATGTCATTTCCATTAACGCTCACATCACCCTAGCGAATAGACGCGGGGACAGGCTCAGAGCCGTTCGTGCGTCGGGGTTTCTGACCACTACTGCTTTTCTGTGTAAAATGCATGTCTCTTACTAATGCCTTTCCCTTTCTTCTCGAAATTGGGACTGGATCCTGATTGTTGTGGCGCTCTGAGTACACCCACTACTTAGAAGCTGCGAGAGTTCTGATACAGCTGCATTTGAGTGCCACCTGGCAGTTACTGTGGTAACTGTGACTTTAGTGACGTTTTGTTGTACTACGGTACGGAGTTAACACCTGACTGGAGCCTCAGAAAGGGCAACATTTTGAAAGAAAGGTGTAATAACCTGTGCTGTTTGTCTCTGAAAGAAGGGAGCCAAGAAGCCGTCAGGTGATTGAGGAACTAGAACGAAATAGGGATTGGTTGTTCCCGTCTGACCGCCCAAAAACGGTATTGCGTCGCAGTAAGCGCGAGTCAGTCTCACGGGTTGAAAACTGTTCACAACCATCCGGTTACTAGTTTATATGTGGAAACAACGTTGGCCGTTTTGCCTCCCAAAGAGAAGTTGCTGGCTCGCACCAAGAGACCGAAGATGATACCTTAGCCTCCAGACGATACTTTGAGAATCAAGCGAGAAACTCCATCCGTTCCAAGATGTTTGTCTGGTTTCGTACTAACAGGGCCTAATCTTTCATCTCTGACCGAAAAAGAAACAGTTTTACTTATAACTGTGTCCGTCTTGTTCCAAATTCTTGGGTGTCCTTGAAGATTCAGTCGTAAATACCAGATGAAAGAGCTAGAAGAGGAATTTCGCTTTAGCTGGTTCTTACGACATTATGTTATCTGATCTATCTTTGAGACTTACTTTCGTTCCTTCTCTTCTCTCTCTGCGAGGATATCCCCGTAGTATTTCTTAGGGCTTACAATAACTTTTTCTAAGTGTCGGTGCTCAAGGAGGGTCCTAAAAATCCTTGTCAGACCGCGGCTCTCATTCGGCAGTTTCTTACATTCAGCCAATAGTATATGGCTTTGCTCTTCCAAACACTTTTTCGCAACCTCTGCCTCTTCTTTGCATTCTTTTTACCATGATGGTGACACACAGAAGTAAGCAACAGGTCTTTCTCATCCACATGGGGCGATGAATCTCAACCGGATGTTTTTTACTCCTCAGAATATGCTCAGATGGGATTTCGACATTGCGCCCGTCAACTAATCACGCTTCCTCCTGAGAAGAGCGCTTCATTGTGTCCAACTCTTCCCCATGTGACGCTCCGCTAGCCATTAGGACGTCGTAAAATTGCCTTGCTTGACAGCTGTGTGACAAACTGGTGATTATCTGGTGATCAGCGAAGCGCGTACGAGCATGGCCGAATACGCCCATACACTGTCTGAGTGTGTCAATGCTTGTGCAGAATGAGGTAACGCAGGGCAGACCTCGACTGCGCATTTGCATACGACCGAACAGTCTGAAGCGTCTCAGAAAAGTGCAAACAAATCGGACATTGTGGCTGTTGTTCGGAGCTCCTATAATTGTTTCTTCTGTGACACTGAGATGAATTGGCAGGTGACTGAACGGCGTGACATGTGATTTCAATGTGCGGCTGCACTGAGTGCATTTCAGCACTGCGTCTACAGGCCTGGTCATTGGTGTTTTCACTGCGGCGAATGCAAGAACGCCCGATGGTGGTAAGACGTCCCTCTCTTTTCCGGCCTGACCTACTTGTATATTACTGTTTTCCACTGACCTCCTACGTATTCGCAACTGGAAGAAAATCGAATTTTCTCGCATTCTTTCGCAGAAAGATCATACTCTTCAAAAATCTACTCTTCTCCACCGACTGACGCTGTTTTACGACAGACCCTGATAACTTACAGATTTGCCTACCAGGCAGACAGATAATTCTCGCAACTCAATACATGATTCGATTTTTACTCAGTTGACATGACATTTTCTTGACAATCCTTGGCGTGATATTCGCAACTACTTTTACTTGCTTTCTTTCAGCAACTCACACTATCGAACGCCGTCGCCTTTCTATGGATATGTTCCATATCCGGAGGATGCCAGCAAGAAATTCGGAGATTTCGCGAAATTAGAAATTGTTTAAAAGGATCACCGGACTAAATTGGAATTTAGACCACCTTTTACAATCTTCTGGTAGACGGTATACCGGCAGTCTCTTTCGCAACGTCGACGACTTTCGTGATCCTTAACCTCCCACACACTGTCTCACCCACAACTGAACCGATGACTTCCTTCCAGCCTCACCTACCCGCTGCTAGCCGGCGGATTAGCTGGTCAACGCTTCTCAGGGGACGTTGACACACGTGCCTTCAATGCATCAGGCCTGCTCTCCGCTAATATCCACTCGTGCACATCCCTTAAACAGCAGTTTTTATTTTCCAGGATTCCATGCGACTTGCGTACACTCTGGTACTACCGAGGACAATTTCAAGTTCGAGTACTCCGAACGGCATCCGAAGTTCTCAGTCAGGAGTTTTTACTTCGTCCGCCCTAAGTTAGCACTGGGGGTGGCAGAAACTCATTTCGACGACTGCGGATTAGTGTTAAATCTAAGAATCTGCATGTCCGTCCATTTTAATTTCTCTGGAAATCGATGCACAAAGCTAGAGCAAACATATAGGAACAAAGATTTTCAGGCTCTGTGCGAAATTTAGCATCATCATCTGAGCTGAAACCCAGCAGCTGCTGTGAAATAACCGCTTATTATCCACAAGACCTCAACAGGCAGTCAGTAGCATACTGATAATGGATTATTTCTCATACAGACAACACAGATACTAGCTGAAAGTCCAGACACGAGTGTCTCCTCGATCTTGTGTTGCTGCATGACGCAGCCGTGAGGGGTTTGGCTCACCAGTGGTCTCCTCCATATTCCTCGTGCGCTTTTCTAGCATATACTCCGGTTTTTCAATATTGCTCTTCTTTAATTTCCTCAGATATGAAAACGTGAACTCGGAGTAAACCCTATGATGTTTTGGCAGATTTTGAGTAATTCATATTGACCCAATTGTGAAAAGCTGGGTACCTCGGTGGGACTCGAACCCACGACTGTAAGGGGAAGGCTTTAGTACAGCCAACGCTCTAACCACTCGAGCTACAAGGCCCCGCCGGACGACTCGAGAGTTTAATCACATTTGCGTCAAGTTACCCGCCCAACCTACTGCGACGTCTGGAATCCATCAAATATGACACAGTAAGTTGACTGCCCATCAGATGACCACCAGGCTCACGTAATTCATAGATGTTTTGATGGATTTTGAATAATTAACCCAAGTTTTTTATGGTTAGTTGGGATGTGCTCAAACACTCATCAGGAGCCTCTTCTGCCTTCAACGGTGGAGAATTACGCATCCTCAGATCGTCCATTCCAAATCGTCGTCACTCCAATGACTGCCTGAAACTCGAAAATCCGACAGCACTTGCATACGCACTTCCCCCGACAGAAACAACGGAGGGCCAACCGTCTAGGAACTGGAGATTGTGTTTTGTTTATGAACCTGGAACTTGCCAAGGAGGGCTAGTGAGCAGATGAAATCCACGTGTCTGACGAGCAGTGTGAGAAACACACAAAAATTCCATACCAAAAAAGTACGTTTGAGCAGATCGGTGACTTTACTGAAGAACTTTGCAACGGCCAACTTAGAAATGTGGAATAAATTGGCATTCCCAGGGGTACGCCATTCACGATTCCACTTAATAGCCTCCTAATCTGTTGGCGTATGCACCGTCATGAAATTGTCAAAACAGCGTAATCCACTTCTGGAGGGAGAGTTCAGCACACAGACTCACAACACTGGCGCGGGGTGTTTACGGCCTCCAGAAAGAAGATAGGTAAGAACTTAGTAGACCATCATCCGTGTAACTGAATTTTCTGCAACTAAATCCTATCTACACAGTAAAGTAGAGATAAATATCCACAGGTTAAATGGTGAGCATTCCTGACAACTCGATTTCAAGGGTACTCTTGACTTCGCTTTTAAGTCGGATGGCTCTTTTATATTCCGTTCTACTGAGTGCATGACATCCAAAATGTAGATTATGACGACAGGGCCCCCTACGTTGTATCCTTTTAGTCATTCTCCGTTCACGGAAAGCGTGCGTGTATGTTCACACGCCTCACTGAAAGTTGCATTGGCTAAGCAACAAAACAGTTCCCCTCGCCCTATAAGAACAAGCGTTTCAGTTATTTAATTATCTCAATAAATATATAAAAATGCGTACATACACAATTGAGTTAGTCTGCGCACGGGCTCTGAAAGTATACAAAAATATACAAAGTTCCTAAGGGCACGAAATTTTAGGGTAGTGGCGGGGGGGTTAGGAAGCCAAAAGATGGGCATTAAGGTTAGGCAGTTCCAATAGCGCGCTTCGCAGCTGCAGCAAGCAGATCATCCAGGAGAACCTGGCGTTTCTTTTCCTCTAAAAGGCGAGCCGCTGACAACGCCCTCGGTCCCGCACAATTCGGCTGCCACAGGTTCCACAGATCGGTCAATAATTCCATCTGGCCCTCAGCAGTTGGTGAGCCCATAACGCTGGGATAGAACTCCGCACAAGTCTCCGGCAGCGGATTTGTCGTCTCAGTCTCCGACTCCTCTCTGCTTTGATCTGTCTCGAATGCCTCGTCCCCATTACCATCGGCGACGAAAGCATCAGTCTGTTCGCATGCTTCATTCTCTTTCGCACTCAATAGATCGTCCATCAGATGGCTGTAGGTAGTAGTACCCGTACTCTTGGCAGCCGACTTCTTCGTCCGACTGTGAAAGCTCATGAACCAGGCGCGAGTGCCCTCCAGGCCCTCCTCGAAGGCAGTGCGGGCGTCCGCGGGAGCAAAGAACCACTCATGGCTGAAGAGATCCCCAGCGGAGGACAAGGACAGAGCCTGTAGGCCACGACCATCGGGCAGGGCCCGCGCGGCGATTCCTACGCAGGCCACGGAGAGGTGTTGGGCGAACAGATCGGGGCTGAGGAGGCGAGTAGGAAGATTGCTGGGCACTCGGCTGAGCATCTCCCCTGGGCTACCACCGCTTAGAGCCGGCCCGACCACCTGCGGAGGTAGGACTTTGCCGGACTCGGTTGTGTCGTCCAAGTTCAGGCCCGTGACGGTGACTTCGAAGGGGAACTGAGAGGCTGATACGAGCATAGTCTAGGAGGTGAATGAGGCGTAAAAAAGATCTTGGTAATCACATGTGAACATGAAAGTCACGCAGCGGAAGTGCAACTCAAGACAGCAGGCCGTTTCAAGGCTATTCCGTATTTGTATCTGCCGCGCCCCACCACGCGAGGGGACTCGTAACACGTCAGTTTACCGGTTATCCCTGTCGAATTTGACCGTCTGATTTGATTCGGCTTCACTCTGCACTAGAACAGGATGAAACTGAGGGTTTTATTATGATATGATTTTCATCTCACTATCAAGGCAATCAAAATTGGGCCAAGATAATTTATATAGTACTAATTTTTTACCCTTATATTGCGTGTACAGCAAACCAAAATACGAAAGAATTTGTTTGGCTCTGTGTAATTTAAAATGAAATTGATTTTATACCAGCCGAATACGCGGAAGAAAACCAACGAAGCACAATCAGCTGGGAGAGCAGCATAAATATGGCAGGGTTTGGGAAGAGTCGACAATTCAATGCAACTTCTTCAGAAGCGAGGCCAACTATTCGTGGTTGCGTGAGCGTGAAATAACACGAGCAGTAGCAATACTAAAATTCGATTTTGTTAATGACTTTTAAAAAGCATACGCCTACGACAAACCCTAGAAATAAACGACCACAATACGCCCTATTAGCAGCAGCCTACGAGAGAGTCAACATAGGCAGAAAAGGGGATCAATCGGCTAGGAGAGAACCGTCGACTTCCTGATCTCTGAGCTGCAGCCTACGCGCTTCCCACAGCGAGGATATCATTCGGTGTGAGCAACTTTTCATCTACTTTGAGAGGCAGAAGTCCCTCAGGCAGGCGAAAAACCGCTGCATTTGTTACTTCTTAGCAACTCTGCTATATTTTAAGTAACAAACAAAACGCAAGTTCATTAAAGGCAGCCAATTAGCAGAACTTAACTCGGTTCAAAGGACAATCATTAAGTCAAGAGGAGGACCTTGCTTAGCCTTGGGCAAATTTCTAGTTATTTTGATACAACAATATCAAAAGAAACATGAGGTAGTGCCATTAATTTCTGAAGGGATCGCTTTTTTTAAATGGCTAACATAAAAGTCACCCGTGGAACGAACATAAGTCTTTCCAGTCCCTGTACCCATAAAGAGAATGGGGAGCTAGCTGCTTAGATCCTGAAACGCTGTCTTTGGTAGGCCACAACAAAAAATAGACGTGCACTTAAAATTCCCCGAATCGTCCATATGATAGCAACAGTCCGTTCATATTTAATTCCCTAAATATGCTCACATCAATAGTTCCTATCCCGAAGGTCGTGATTATAACCAAAAACTCCGTGCGAAACTTAGTGACCTGGCACTAGTAGGTTAACGACCAGGTTCCTATGACCAATGACGCTTCTCTGATACCTAATTTAGATGCGAGAACAAGTAAGAAAATGAATAAGAGGTTCAGTAGATGCTTCTTATCGGTGCTCGCACTAGGCGAACACAGGCCAACGCAGGGAGAATGGCAAGCATTTGAATCCCCTTCAGTAGGAATGTCTTCTGCCTCCGCTGATGAATAAACACGTATCCCCAGACCACCCATTTCAGAACGTCACCACTCCAAAGTCTACGGATAGTCTGTACGTTCCTGATAATGATAACATCTATTCCGGAGTTTGGTCTGATGATGGTCAGGGATAGGGCAGTTTCGATCAAGCGCACGAATATAACTGAATAGAGCGGTAGGAGAAAAATCAAGAAGTTGGCCGTCCGATTTCGCCTGTTGGTGGATGTTTTCTGTTTGATTCACCTCATTTTCCATGATCTGGCATAAGTGTGTGACATCAATGCCATTTTAATTATCACTGACTACGCGAGGTTCTAGCAGTGTAGCTAACTACTCGGGAAGTTTGGACTTTGCGACAATCTCACTGCCAACGTATGTGCTTAAAACAACCCCAACGTGAAGACGAACGTCTTCAAAACAGGTTCGCAAGCGCCCAACGTAAAGGGCAGGCAGTTTGCTGTCGGGTTGAAAGTTGTCTGAAACAACAAGTCCTGCTTGGGAAATGCCTACGAAAAGTGGAAACGACAGGCCATTGGTGTCTTCCAGGTCATCGAGTGTGCAAGCTTATATGAGAATTCCAGTATTAATCCATCCTTCACCGTCAGATTCAGCAAGTCGTTTGCGAGTCAAAAAAAGACCAAGCCTAAGTACTGCTCTGCAAGACTCACGCCTAGACAGATTAACCTAAGGCACAAAGTAGAATGGAGTTTTAACAATTATATATGTTCAACACATCTGTCCTCCAACCGATGACGCGCGTGGACGCCGTATCAGCATTTGAGCCTAGACCCACCTCTATGACAACCAGTCTTGTCAGTGGCAATATCCTCAGGTTATGCACCGTATTACTGTGGGACACCTCAACGATTGAACACGCTCATGCTTACTGGTCAACAAAACTGTTAGATTACTCAGGCCCTGGATAGAGGTTGACGAAAAAACAGTAGGGGGGCGGGGTAAGTGTCTAGTAGCAGTACATGCGACGATTGCATTCAGTATTCACATAATTCCCTTCTTTAAAAGATAACGCGTTATATTTCTTCTGTCTAGCCCAAGCGTTCTTTGCACGTTTTTATCTTGTGGTTCGCGTTCCCTCTTTCCCCATGGCGTTGTACCCAGAATTTGAAGAAATGCAATTCGTGTTGTCAACTTTTGCGGTTTTTCGTTCGCGATTTCGGGTTCTTACGTCGAGTTGGTGCAAGCCAAACAGGTCGCACAGTTCGACAGCTCCTCTACAACATGTTTTGCGCTAACGGAGGGGCCTGTAGACCAGATTAGGGTCAACCGGCCGCCGTCCAACGCATGCATCAGGTATTGTGGTTTGAGAAGGCTCCTTCCAACTGCAGAAGAAGAATAATGCTGGTATGCTCCGCCAAATTTGATACGAACAAAGAGAGTGAATAAATTATTTGTAACCCATTAGATGCGAATTTTCCGGAATGTAAGTGCTACCGCGGCGGGCAACTGAAGGTCCTTTATGCAAGATGCGAAATCAATTATTAACCTCACCTGTAACGGTCGCAACTGGGCAGCCGCCAAGCGAGGGGTAATTAACAAACAATTGCCATCCGCGGATTTTAGCCGCTAAATGCTGTGGTGCCATGCTAGGCCATAATTATGGGTGGGGAACGCACCTGAGCTGGTGGATTAACCGCCGTCCAAGCCTCTGTGCTTCCAAACTCGCACCAATCCATGAAGGCAAGAGGCGCTCTCAGAGCGTGCGACCAATGCAGAACTGGTCGACCAGGCATTCGGCTGTCCATAAGGAGGCAATTGTAATCGGTTGCAAGAACGGCATAGATGTCAGACAACCAGTAGGGTGCAGCCTGGAAGATGGACTCGGCCGGATTGAAGACCCTG